GCCGGCGGCCTGGAGTCCCGGGAGCGGCGCGCGCGGCCCCGGCCCCGCGCTGTCCCGGCGGGCGCTGCACATTCTCTCCTGGCGGCGGCGCCACCTGCAGTCGCGTTCGCTGGAACATGGCGACACGGAGCAGCAGGAGGGAGTCGCGACTCCCTTTCCTAATCACCCTGGTCGCGCTGCTGCCTCTCGGGGCTCTTGGCGAGGGCTGGCCCCAGAGGCTGCACGGCGGCCGCGCGCCCTTGCCCCAGGACCGCGGCTTCTACGTGGTGCAGGGCGCCTCGCGCGAGCTGCGGCTGGGGACGCTCCGGGATGCCAGGGGGGCGAGCCCGGCGGCCCGGGAGCCGCTCCGGACGCGGAGGAGCGCTGCCCTGCAGCCCCAGCCCATCCAGGTGTACGGACAGGTGAGCACTTCTGCAAGCCGCCTCCTTGCAGCTCTTTCCTCTCCCTGCACTTCTCACCCCCCGCATCCCTCCTTGGCAGTCGCCTCCCAGGTGCAGGCACCGCTTGGGGACTTCCCGGCTGGCGTTTGTTTGTTTGTTTGGGTTTTTTTCCTCTTTTTTTCTCCGCTCACACGAGTGTACAACCGTCAGCACTTGAATCACATCGATCTCTCCTTCTTCCTGTCGATTTTAGTAAACGTATTCCGGGTAGCTAGCGGGGTGCAGTGGCTCTTTCCCCCGTGTGTACAGTCAGAGCGGTGTAGTTTCCGGCAGGTATTGGAGAGGTGCAGCCGCATTTTCACATCTTGATAAAAACGGGCTTTCTTTAGTGTGCCATCCTTTGGCAGTGGAGGTGAGCACCCTAAGCGAGCACCCCGCAGTTGCAGAACACTTAACACAGAATGGCAGGAGGTAGGGGTTTCCACACTTACCCTCATGAACCCCAGTAAAGATTGGCCACCCGGGAGGCTCGGTGATTGCCCCTTGTGCAGACAGAAGTGTGCATCTGTGTTTGTGCGTGTGTGTGTGTGTGTGTGTGTGTGTGTGTATGTGTAAGGTTGAATTTTTATTTTGATAGGGTTGTGCGGTCCCATCCATTCCTCTTTCCCACCTCTTCAAGGTGAGATGATGACTTTATTTTGGACAGGAATGGTCTCTAATGACAGTCAGGGTTTTTGAAGGACTGGAGAAATTTGGTGGGGATTACTTTAAGGGCTTTATTTCTTTGCAGGCAATGGGTTTATTAGGTAATAAGTATCAGCAATCTCACTTTTATGGCCCGACTGACTGCTAGGAATGGAAGCTGAGTTGTAGGTTGGTGTCAGCACTGGCAGAATTAATTTGTTGGTGTTATTGTCTCCCATGAGAGAGATTCCTGGCTCTGCTGTTAAGATTGACATCAACAGAACCAGAAGGTTGGTGGGGGAGAAAAGTTGGGCCCAGGGGAGGTGGAGAGTAAGCTCCATTCCCAGAGTCCCTGTTTCTTTCTAAAGTACAAATGAAAAGATTAGCCCAACTTCTGTCTTTCTTCCCTGATTTTGGCTCTAGTCAAGTCTTCTTCCTGCAATACACAGAGCACAACGGTCAACTCTCAAAGCCAGGAAGGATCTTATAAACCGTGTCACCCTATTGTGTCATTTTCTTGGTGAACAAATCGAAGCTGTGGAATTGGCTATGACTAGTCCAAGGTCACACAGGGAAGGGCTGCCTGCTCCTTCCTTTTGCCTGCATTGTCTCACTGACCTTTGGGAATTGGGAGTCACCTTGTCTCTATTCAGTACTTCCTAACACATTCTTTCCAAAATTAATATATATGGCTCTAAAGGTAGAGGGGTGGTGCTATGTGGGTGGAAGAAACAGACCCCCCCCCAAGGAATATATACCAGAGGGCCTGTTACTACTCGGGGGTGGGATGGGAGGAGTGTCTGAGACTACTGGAGCCCAGCAGATCTTTCCCTTTGGGGCCTAGATCATCCTTCTTTCCAGTCCCATCTGAAACTTCCTTTTCGTACTTTGGGAAAGAAGCAAGATTGCTTTCTGCAGGGCATCAGCTTGGTACTGATGAGGAAGGGTCTTGCCAACCTAGCCAGCTCTGCTATGCTGTTGAGTCTGTGGGCTGGGATGGGAGGAGCGACCGGACAGTCCCTCTTTGAGCTCAGGTCCGCCAAAGCCTAGTATCGGTTGGAGGAGGAACTTTCTGGTCTGTAAAATATGCATGCAGGTGCCATTTCTTTCTTTTTTTTATTTCCTTGAGTTTGGTGTGTGAAAATCTCCCAGGGATTTGGAGCAAGTTAAAGATGAACTCTGTCCTTGTTGGGAATACCTCCAAAACCCTTGGCTTTGTTTTTATGTCTCCGAGCCGGCCAGACTGGTTCCATTGAAGGATGGAGACCTGGCCAGCAATTGAACTCATAATGAGAAATTCCCACCAAACAGTGAGGACCAAAGGCAGCATTTTTTCCTCACTGTGACTGCCTTCCTATGCCCTTGTTCTCTGTTGCCTGAGGTTAATGAAAAATTATTAACCCTAATCGTTGGGGAGTCGAATCAGACAGAAGAAGAACTTCCCGGTATGGGCTTTGTACCACAAGCTCCATCTGGTGTGGGCTGCAGACTGCAAGCACAGGAATCAGTGACTTGGACAGCTTAGGGCTCTTCTCTGGGTCTCTGGAGTAAGTCACACCTATTTGGAATCACCTTTCTAGTAAAGGTGACCATTTGCCTCTCTTTTTTCCTGGGACAGACCCATTATCAGATAGTGTCCCCTTCACTCTAAAATGTGTGAGGACGCAACTGTAGTAATAAATGGTATAGTCATTTTAAGTCTGGCCCTACACCAAGTTCGCTTTCGATTTTTAAACCCAAACAATTGCCTGAATGGAGTGTGTTTCTGTGGGGGTGGGAAATAAGATTTCATTCCTAGTTTCAGAAAACTTACAATTTAAGGTGGAGAGAAATAAACTTCAGATACAGGGTTATAAATGTACCAGTCAGAACCAGCACACACAGACTGGCTAAACCAGCCATGACCCCAAAGTGGTGTAAGGGAGCTCCAGAGATGGAGTGGTAAATTGGTGGGCTCTGTTGCTGTGTAGCTTTTTGCCCTCTGACCTTGGTGGGGTTAAGGGTTACCTTGGAGCATCCCTCAGATCTGGCAGCAGAGGCTGCCTGAAGGAAGAAGCCAGAGAGGTGACAAGGGAGAAAAGAGGACAATGTCCTGAGGAAAACCCGGTCGGGAGAGGAGCCTGTGTTGGTGGATCACACTGGCGTGTCTCCGACTTAATTACCTAGAGGCACGTTTTTTAATAGTGAAGACCACTGTACCAGATATTAGGGCTTTCTACCCACATTCCAAGTTTCCTTAAAAGGTCACATTAAAGAATGAGGAAGCTATAGTTTTTATTTTTTTATTTTGAGAGTGGTCAGTTTATGTAGCCCAAGTCAGCCTGAACTTTACTGTGAGCCCAGGCTGGCCTCCAACTGGCGATCTTACCGCCTCAGCCTCTGGAATGCTGGGATTACAGGCATGTGTCTCGGCACCCAGCTTAGTTCATAAGTCTTGATACACTGAATTCTTTCTGATTCTATGCCTGCTCAGTGCCTCTGTGTCATCATGCTTGCTCTTTCCTCTTCCCAGAAGGTCTTGCCCAACTCTGCTTGCTTGGAGTACCCTTATTCTATTCTTCAGCACCCCAGGACTCCTGGCATTCCCAGGCTTCTGTGAAAAGAGTTCTGAGCCTGGTCCCAGTACTCACTGCCTTGTATTGTAATTAAAGCCTCATCTCCCTGTGTGCTCCTTGGGGGCCTGGATTTGGTTCTTCTCTCCTGATTCTTCTTCCTACACCGGGAGGCCCTTAATGAATATTTGTGAACCAGTTGCACACCTGGAAAAAAAGGCCTGGAGGGTAGGGAGCAGCACAAGTTATATAAAGTTATTTATAAGGAGGACCATGGGGAGCCCGCAGCCAGCCAGTGAACATGCCTTGGCTCACTCCATGGTGCTGAAGCAAATGGTCTGGGCCTCAGGGAGTGAAGCCCTGGTTTGCCTGTGCTATCTGGGAGTTATTTCGAATGAAGACCTAGGATTCTATTTTAATCCTCCCTTTTAGGACTCTCATATTGGTTTTTGCTAATGGTGTTGTTTTGGGGGGAAATCCTTTGGAATGAAGCACAAAGCCTAACAGGATTTACAGGTTTATTTTGCTTTCAACAAGCTCTCTGTTCATAATTCCTGCATTTTGGAGGACAGGGGGTATTCAGTGTCCTGATTTGAGACTGAAAACAAAGTTTCTATTACAACACGAGGCCTTTAGACAAAGGCTTCTTTGGAGGAAGAATGCTATTTGGCTTTGGATCTCTTTTGGGTCAATTCTGGAACGATACACTTGCTTAGGAAAGAATTGGCAACCTGATCCTGAAGTTAGGATGTTTGACTTCTGTGCTTCTAGATGAAGATGAGAAGGCTGATTGTTGGCTGTTCTGGGTAGAGTTCTATGTAGGTGAAGATGTGGCTTGGCATCTTGGGTTGACTCATCGAGGGTCGTGACCTTGAAAAACTCTTCCTGGTTGCATGCATACCCCTTCTGTTGAGTTCTATGCTGTCTCTGGCCACTGTTGGTTTATCAGTAGCTTGGAACCTGGAGAGCAGAGTCTTTGAAGTGGAAGGAATGGAGGAAAAGGGCTATGAGGAGTGGCACTGAGAATTGGTGGGATGGGATCAAAAGTCATGTTTCCTTAGCTGTCAGTAGGTAATGTGTGCTTAGCAAAGCCAAATTTATGTGAAGAATGTGTGGTGACAAATGTTTCCTTCCCTTTAAGCCCCTTCTCAGTTGGTAACTACAGTCACTAGGTTTTTGTATATCCTTCCAGAATAGTCTACATATATATACAGAATATTCTGTACACATAACCTGTATGTACAGGACATCACAAAATTGAGCTATCAGTGGCCTTCTGTTCCCTGTAGCCCCTGGGATCATGAATAATGAGGGTAGCTTTAGCTCTAGAATATATTTGTGGTCTTGTGATTATGAATAGTCAGGGTGTTGCCTGAAGTGTCATAGTATAAAATAGATGGTTACTTTTTCTCCAGGCCGGGTGAAAGAAAACATCTCCCTCATTTCTCCTGTGGGCCACGAGAGCAGCGTTAAAGAGCTTCCTCAGAGCTTAGAGAGAGGTTGGTCAGCAGCTCCCTGGAGTTGTAGAGCCCAACTTTGAATGTCAAAACAGAGAAACCATACTATGGATCTTGGTTTTAATTTTGTGTTCTTTTCAAGGATGCTTTCATTATATTCTGTAAAATGAAATTAATGGTATGCTTAATAGATAGCTTTGAGACCTGGGATCCATGAGGTACATCCTAACAGCAGTGAACATCCCAAGGCAAAGAGTGGATGTTGTAGAAATACTGCATTGTCAGTTTTGAGTCTGCTCCTCCTTAGAGATCACTGCCATCTCTGAGT